AGAGAGAGAGAGAGAGAGAGAGAGAGAGAGAGAGAGAGAGAGAGAGAGAGAGAGAGAGAGAGAGAGAGAGAGAGGAGGCAGCCAGAGAGAGAGGCAGTAAGGTGAACACTGACAAAAAAAGAATCCCTGACAAATAACGCGAAACGACCCCGTGGATCATAGAGACACATGGCGATGCAAATGCATTGTCTCTCAACCCATGTTAGCCGTGAACGAAGGGCAGACAGTGCAATGTGAATACGCCGTACGTCTCCCACACAGCATCCCGGAGCACAATCGCTGTCAATGACAGAGAGACAGCGTGATTTGAATACATTGTATGTCCACAAACAAAGCATAAAGCAAAAGGAGACGTGTCATGCAATAGGACTGTTGCCACAAGGGAGCCCGCAGCCATTGAACTCTGGAGTAATCTGACAGATATAGCCAGCACTCACCTTGTCATCTACATCTGTGAAGTTCCTTACATACGTGACTTTATAACCAAGAGCCATTAGGTACCTGTCATGGATGTTGTATGCAAAAGAATAAATATAAAATAAGTCCCCACAGCAGTTTATTTCTTGTTCCAGAGACACAAAAAGAGCGATAGCCAGGACCGAAAACAATTCATTAGTCAGAAAAATGAACTGTTGGAATCCAAGTGACCAAGACTTCTGATTAGGAAAATCAAAACACTACATTCCTCTCCACACTGGCCTCGCTGCTTTCCCCCTCCCCCACCCAGAATAAACGACTGAACAAATAAAAATCAACACTCAGCAACAGCAGCAGCAATGCAAGTCATCAGAAGGAAAACAGCCTGGCGCAAAAGCGTCATAGGAGTTGAGACAGAGCCGTCAGTCTGATGATCAGCCAAGACTCGAGATTAGGCAAGCAAAGCACCGCCATTTTCTTCCAAGGAACTCACACAGCAGCAGCAGCCATTGAACCCAATCCAGGAGCAGCAGCCAGAAGCAAATGTAGATATACTTACTCAGCCGCTGACTACCAGGAAGGACACACCTAGATTCATCTCAAAAGTTAAAACTAAAAATAACAAGATCGAAGTTCCAAACTATGTTGTACATAACAATGTCAGGGGGCGCACATGCACACACACACACACACACACACACACACACACACACACACACAACACAAAGACAAACACGTACACACACATGAGTATATTGTAAGTTGTAACTATAATTGTACAATAATGCAGCCGTACACACATTGTAATTCTAATTATGGGGTAACAGGGGTCAAAACAAAAACTTATTTTACCAGAATGCCTCTGTCAGAATCTCTCTGGAGTGTGCAATCGCCAGGTGCATGTTCTGGTCCTGGACATGGACGTCCAGATGTACGGGTGGCGTGGACATGAATACAACAGAAGATCAGTTGCAGTTCTGAATCATTAAATCATTAAGGCCATGGCAGATCACATGCTCATGCCCCTCCTCCCAGTCCACAACTCGACTCACTCGCAAATAATGAAAAGGATGTCGTTGGGGCACAGCTGAGCAACCGCGGGCATGGCAGCAGAAGTGAAGTCTAGGAAACGAAAAGGTTGCAGAAATAACACTACCATAGTTCACAAAGTCTCAATGACACTGTGACTTGAGTCTGGTACACAAGTGTTCATGCACAGAAAGAGGACACTGTGACTTGAATCTGGTACACAACTGTTCATGCACAGAAAGAGGACACTGCGACTCGAATCTGGTACACAAGTGTTCATGCACAGAAAGAGGAACACAACCGGTAGTGAAATGAAGGTGATGCGAATTTTCTGCAAGTGAGTTGGTAGGAAAGGAGGAGTAGCGTGGGAGTGATCTAGGAGGGATGATCCGGGGGTGATCTGGGGGTGATCTGGAGTGGTGATCTGGGGTTGATCTGGGGTTGATCTGCGGGTGATCTGGAGGTGATCGGGGGTGGCCTGGGGATGATCTGGGATAAATCTGGGGGTGATCAGGGGTGATCTGGGGTGATCTGGGGGTGATCTGAGCGAGATCCGGGCGTGATCTCTGAATGACGATTGCCCTGGGCGTGATCTTCGAATGATGTGTGAACGCGAGTGGCGATCCGGGAGCGATCCGGGAGCGATCCGGGAGCGATCCGGGAGCGATACGGGAGCGATACGGGAGCGCGATCCGTTGGGAGCGCGATCCGTTGGGAGCGTGATCCGTTGGGAGCGCGATCCGTTGGGAGCGATCCGGGAGAGAGAGATTTTGGAATGATCCGGGGAAGAGAGATTTTGGAATGATCCGGAGCGATCTGGGAGCGATGATCTCGAGTCGTCTGGGACTCTGGGGGTGATCTTGGAGTGATCCGGGAGCGATCTGGGAAGGATACGGGGATGACGAGTGAGAACGAAGTGGGATTGGGATTCATCTGGAGGGATCTGGAAATGATGGGGGAGTGACCGGGGGAGCGGGAGTGGTGGGGATGTTGGGGTGGCAGTGGAGCAATGGTGCAGTAGATTGGGCCCCTGGCAGTCTGTTTCAGGTGCTGAGGCTGTCCCCACTGATAAGAGAGCGAACATGAATGATTACTGACCTGTACAAGACGTCAAATGCGACATAGACTCTGGCATGCCCGATGTGGCTGTAGTCATAAGCTGTCACACCACAGACATACATTCCCACTTTCCCCTCCACCTTTGGTACGAACACGTCCTTCTGCTTCGTCATCGTGTTAAAAAGCCGGAACTCCACACGCTCTCCTTCCCCCTCGCTCTCTCGCTGCACTGCCTTGTAGTCACTCTCCCTCTCCCTCCTCGTCTCCTCTCCTCCAACTGCCTTCACGCTCACCGGTGGTGTCCTCGTCTCATCTCCTCCAACTGCGTTGCATGTCCTGGTCCTATCTACTTCCTCCTCCTTACCTTCCTGGACCTTGTGTATTCGCCGAAGCCCTCTCGTGGAAATCAGAACAGGCTCCGCCACAGTCCCCTTGAGGAGGCGGTTTCGGCTGTGCTTCGTCATCCTACTCTTCATGTCAAGAAGAGACTGTAGGAGAAACCTTGGTGCACAGGGCGCACGTGTTCCCGTGAGATGTGCAGACCTAGCTCTGGCCCCACAGCAACCATGCAAACTCCTCTGGGTGATGGTCTCCTGACCTGCCAAGTCTGCGTATGCCGGCCATTCTTGGCTCCCACGCAGGCGTCCAACAGCAACCGCAGCAGCAGAAGCAGAACCCCCAACATTCTTGGGAAACCTATGGCTCCCACGAGGGGATCCAACGGTACAGATGTCTCGTTGACTTGATCGATAAGCAGGGATGCCTCTGCGGCTTGATGCAACACCACAGACGTCTTGGGCAGCCCCTTGGTATCGCCCTGCAGCCACAGGACACCCTCCAAACATCCACCGATCTCCTGCTGACTCTGACGTCGGAAGAAGCCTGGTCCCACCTACATTGGTCCCTGACCCTGCCAAGTGGAACTCGGCGGAACATGCACACACCTCCACCAACGAATGCACCGATCTGGAGATCATTCTGCTGACGGCAGGGGGCCAGGATCTAGGTAGCCGAACGGCATGCCTTGATGCAGCAAAACGCCCTGCAACCACAATGCTGCAAGTTGACAGCCTACTTGGAAGCCTGCCAGTGATCATCAGTGAGGCTCAACGGGGGCAGAGGCTCCTTCCTTCCTCCCCCTCCCCCTCCCCCCTCCCTCTTTAGTACTGTATACGTGACTAAAGGTAGGGCGCTCTACCAGCGGCGTATGTAGCCGCAGCTTCGAAGCTGCTGCCCGCGAACCAGTACAAATCTGCCACCGAAGGAGCACACATACAGATGAAATATGCCCTGCGATCACGACGCCGTTTGTCGACAGCCTGCTCGGTAGCCAGCCTGCTGTCATGAGCGAGGCTGGATGGCTCCTTCCCGTGAAGCCCTTTTGTGTTGTGTGCGACCAGGGCGCTCTGCCACTGCTAGTGCATGCAGCTGCAAGTTCAAAGCTGTTGTCTACCAACCAGTAGAAATCTGTCGAAAGGGTACTCACACCATCAGGACAACGAGTAGAAACCTGTCACACCTTTCACACGAGTCCACATGCAGTTGAAACAGCTATCAGGACAACAAGTAGAAACCTATCACTACAACACATAGATGAAACAGTCATCGACAAGTCATCGACACAACTATGGTAGCAATCCCCGTGCGGGCTTCCGCCCGCACCAATTTGATCTCTTGCGATCGTCTGCAAAGCACTGAAGATTTGACGAATCTTCAGTGTTGATACCTTTGTTATGTTTCCAGCAAAAAAAAAAAAAAAAAAAAAAAAGATTCTGTTTGTCGAATCCAGATCCAGAGACCAGTACTTCTAAAGTGGCTATACATACAGAACTCGTTTTTGTTTGTTTTTTTTTTGTTTTTTTTTCCTGGATTCGACAAGCAGAATCTTTTTTTTCTGGAACGTTTTCACAGATCTCTATGCTTTGATAGGAACTGGAAGTTTTGGCAAGTGGGCACACACCAGTGAAGTGTGTGATACAGAACCCTTCCTGCGCATTACGCATCTGGCGTACCTACTACATTTCTTTTATTGTAAAAAAAGATCATCCATAAATTTCACATCTTTCGTCCGTCAATTGAATTGTGCATGGATTTCAAGAAACACAAAAAAAAAACAAAGCAAAAAAAAGGGCTAGTATACATTTCAAACGCATCAGTAGAATTTATTTCTGTCCGCCAATTGTAAAGGGCGACAGGCTTGAGATACCATATCATCGAACTGACCGAGCCCAGGTATTCCATTCTGATCATTTGATTGTACCTGGATTTGAACTTGGGTCTGCACTTCAACACTCCATCGGTGTAGCAACTGAGCTAGGGCCGTTGGTTATCTGTAGAATTCATTCCCCCTCCCCCCCCCCCCCCAAACAAAAAAAAATTGAACTCATCCACATAGATTTCCACCTCTTGTCCTCACACACACTTTCAATCTCTCACCACATCCATCTCAAGTCCAAAACCATTCACCTTGCCATTCCAAACCATCCAGTGCTCCCCAGTGCCATTACAAAGGAGCAGGTATTCGGCTACGGAAAAAAAAAAAAAAAAACCATAAAAATCAGCTCTCCAGCTCAAGCACGGGCTCAGAATAAGTTGCTCCGCCCTTGCATGTCTTCTTGCGTGCTTTCCCCCTTTTTTCGTTACTTTTTTAGATGGACGTCATCAAAAGTCCTGTACAAATGCATGCATCAGTCTTAAATTTGAAACTGGCGGCACAGCACAAAATGCTTTCACCAACCAGTAAAAAAAAGGATGCCTCAGCCTAAACACTAAGCCACATAATCGCGGAAACAACCGCTTCTGACCCAATCTTTCATTCTCTCTCTCTCTCTCTCTCTCTCTCTCTCTCTCTCTCTCTCTCTCTCTCTCTCTCTCTNTCTCTCTCTCTCTCTCTCTCTCTCTCTCTCTCTCTCTCTCTCTCTCTCTCTCTCTCTCTCTCTCTCTCTCTCTCTCGCGCGCGCGCGCGCGCGCTACAATCCAGATGCAAACACGAACAGACAAACACAGACACATGGAGAGAGAGAGAGAGAGAAAGAAATCTCCCCCTCCTCCACCTTCTGCTCGTGCTAGTCACCCTTCTCGTCCCTCTCCTCCTTCCCTTCGTCTTCCTTTATCTCCTCCTCCGCTTCGTACTGTCTCGCATGCGCCGCGTGGCGCGTAATCTATTAATTTTTTTAACGAAAACAACACCGAGAGAGGGAGAGAGAGAGATTCCCCTCGTCCTGCCCGTGCTCGGCATCCTTCTCCTGCTCGTCCTCCTCCCTCTCCTTCACACTTTCGGATTTCTATTCCTCCTCTTCCCAGTTGTACATCTCTCGCGCGCCACGTAGCGCGCCTGATTGTTTGTTTTTTTTAAAGAAGAAAAAGGGGCGACCCATCGGTTAGAGGACAAGGCAGGTGTCCTTGCTCCCCGCGAGATCTCTGTTGACACCTGCGTTATCTTCTAAGAGATACGCCGTCCCAGCCCAACTCCCCACCTGACAATGCCTTTCGCTTGGATCAGACAGGCCCCGAGACCCCGCACCTTGGATCAGGGGCGAAACCCTGGCGCTCTCTCTCTCTCTCTCTCTCTCTCTCTCTCTCTCTCTCGCACGCACACACACACACACACACACTCTTACACTTTTATCAGGGGTATCGCTAACTTTGCGCGACATGGCGAGTCCTATCCATCAATGAAAAGCGTCCTGGGCAGAATCTCGAGGTTCAACCTCCTGAAGAATCGATGAAATTCCGACGAACAGTCTGGCACAGTCATGCTTTTCTTTGTGCAGTTTTGTTAGCGAACATGACAACACACACATTCTCTGACTACAAGGCAGAGAAACTGTGTGTGCGCGGGGGAGTGTGTACGATAGAGAGAGAGAGAGAGAGAGAGAGAGAGAGAGAGAGAGAGAGAGAGAGGGGTGAAACTCGGCTTACCTCTGACTACCTTTGCGCCCCATTCGCTCCACTTCAAGTCTACTATCGTTTCAATCCACCCCTTCTCCATCCACTTCGGCATTGAAATCGACTCCTACAAGAAATAGTGAGTGAGTGAGAGAGTGTGTTTGTGTCTGTGTCCGTGTGTGTGTGTCCGTGTCTGTGTGTGTGCGTGTGTGTGTGTGTGTGTGTGTGTGTGTGTGTGTGTGTGTGTGTGTGTGTGTGTGTCTCTGTGTGGATTCCATGAATGTCCGAAATAGCACGACTCAGAGGGAAGCTCGCTGGGATAGAGCAGACGAACGAGAGAGAGATAGAGATAGAGGGAGAGAGAGAGAGATAGAGGGCATACTCACATGACATTCCTGGATGTATCTGACTGCTTTTACGACCGCGCCTAGATGCAGCTGATCGCAATTACGTCCACAGGGAGCTGGAAAAAGTCCTAGTGTGAGTACGCCCAGAAACAACGAGAGGGAGAGAGAGTTGTAGCGCACTCTCTCCTCTCCCTCTCGCACTCGTAGGTCCTCTCTCTCTTCTCCCGCCTCCGCCGTCTTTCCGCTTCCAGTTCGCGCGTGTGGCTATGCTCTGCGGTTTTTGTCTTTCTTGGGGGCCCTTAGGATTACCATCGGACTAACCAGCCCAGTTGAACTCAGAGACTCGTTCCACACCACTTGAAAATCTTGAATTATGGTACGCTCATACCGTGGCAATACGCCCGATCCCATCCGAACTTGGAAGCCAAGCGCCGTTCGGCCGGAATAGTACTGGGATGGGTGACCTTCTCGGAAGTCGAGGTGCTGTATACAAAAAAAAAAAAAAAAAAAAAAAAAAAAAGGTCTTGAATTTTCAAGGAAGCATCGTTCCACCCCTCCCTAATGACGATTATTTGGAAGGCCAGAATGTTTCCACATTTCGAACCTCAAAGCTCTTCCCTTCAAAACTCAAAGGGCGCCCAGCCAAAACGAAAGAATTTTCAAGGGCACCTGGGGAGGTCAAAGGGCCTAGTTTGACACCACTTGAAAATACTTGAGTTTAAGGGCACCCTAACTCACGGAAGGTGAATAATTTCCCCTAACTTGTTTTTTCGTTCCACAACCCCTTGACGAAACCCTTGAGACGGCCGTCCTTGAAGCTGAAGTGCTGACGGCATTGCATCAGGAACAATGGTGATTGGTGGAGAAAAAAAGCAAAACAGAAAAAGGTCCGTATATTCCCCGTTGAAGGGTGAAACCCTTGCGCCCCAAGTGACCTCCCCAGGCACCCTTGGGATTTTCGTCGATTTGCCTGGGCCGCACTTCGGTTTCAAGGGCGGACACTTGGCCATGGGGATGTGGAAACAATTAGCAACTTCAAGGGTGCGTGATTAGGGCGGGGTCGAACGACGCTGTGACGAACGGATTTCTGTTCGCGCGATTTTTTGCGCAACGACAATGAGGGGTCCTAAGATGGGAAGGTTGGGCCAACTACGGGAGATCGGGATCGAAGGGAAATTGCATCGATGTCCTCGCTTCTTCGTCTTTTCTTTTTCATCGCTTCTTTTCGAATGGCTGGGTTCAGGGCCGGGCAAGTCCCGAGATGGCCGATTGAGTGGCTGTCGCGCCGACAAAGGCACGAATAATAATGTTTGATGTCGCTTCTTTCGTGTTTTGTTGTCGGGTTTTAGGCCCGGAGGTCTCGCGGGAATTTTGCTTCGTTCTTTTTTTTTTTTTTTTTTGAATCTTGTCGAGCCCTTGACAACTCTCGGAATTTCGGATTTTCTTTTCTGGAATTTGTGCTTTTTGCATTTTTGCATTAGATAGGAATTTAGGAATTTTGGAATTTAGGATTTTCTTTGCCGCGCAACGCCTTCTGCTTGCGCGCTTCTTTTTGCGGCTGCAACGGAGCTCTGATTAGTTGGCGCCCTTAATCTTGCAAGTAACTGTAATTTTGGGTGGGCGCCATTGTAACTGTATCTTTCTTCTTGGGTTTCGTCTTTCTCACTCTCTCTTTCCCTTTTGCTGTGCCTAGTCAGCCCGCGGCCTGCATGCTCGGATCGATGCGTGGAGAGTGGCTACGTCCCCCACGTCGCGGTCTGGCCATGCAGAACGTAGGCGCTCCCTCTCCTAATCTCCCTTCTAAGTCCTTGCAATTCCGTGTTCTTCTCGCATGCATGCACGCTATAAATTCCGGCTGCGCGATTAGGTAGCTCTCTTAACCAGTTGTTGGAAGCTCGGGGTAGTGCGATCAGTGAGGGTCGGCTCACTAGCGAAGTAAGAGGTGAGTTGAAGTGAGAGTCGGGCGACCCGACGAGCTGGTGTCGAATGCGCGGGGTTGACGCGTGGGGCTACGACGGACTGTAGCGCGCAAGTGAACCTGACGGGTGCAGGAGGACTAAGCGGGGTGACGACTTCGTGGGTTGGTGCGTGACGACGGACTGTCCGCATCGGAGAGAGAGAGAAAAAGAGAAAGCTGAGGTTGATGGGCGTGGATTTACCATTTTCTTTGTCATGTCTCCCTCTTTACTTTTGTATATAAATTTTGATCCCGGCTCAGGGCGACTCGCCCATTTTCTTTTGTTTTCGGAATCCTTGTCTCGGTTTCAGCCCACATTTGTTCTGCGATTGATCTTGATCTCAGCTATTGTGTGTTTTTGCCGAATGAATTGATGAATGAATGACATGTTTGTCGTTTCTCCTTTCTGGCTATCATCATTGTTTGCCATTTTAATACACTGTTAGCAGAATACGAGTTCTGATATTGTTGCGATGTATGATGTGTAAAGACACCTTGCATGCTCTGGAGTGATTGCTCACGGATCACTGAGTGATTAAATGATTGGGTAGTTGTCCATGACACGTGGCGATTTTGCATAAGGAATTAGACTCTAATTTTTCCAGAAACAAGTGAACACCTCGTGGGGATATGTGTAAGCGCAATATGATTTGCGCAGCCTATATGTATCCACACATGCCGATTCGCGACCATTGACGAATCGGACACCTCTGGTATCGGATAGGCGGGAATTTTCCTTCCTTCACACACCTAAACGGATAGGAATTTTCGATATCGCATCGATAAATCCCCCTGCCAGTTAGATGCATGTGAAAAACTTCCACTACGCCGCAATGACAAAATGTTGGACTCATGAGACTCAGAGTACTTCGAACCTTGGGTATGAGAAGAACTCAGGCAGAGACGTTCGGAATTTCCCTGCCTAACCGAGAACCGATTGTGTCCTAGGGAGCTTTACTGTGTCGTAACCAGCGATCCAAGGTGCCCCGATTACCCAACTACGTATAGCACGCAATACTTCATATCCCTCGGCTTTGTCGTTATCACTACCAACTCCCCTCCCTTCCGTCTTCTCCTCCCGTATCACCAGCTCACTATGGGACCGTGGAATTCCATCGCCCCGTATTGGCCCCGTACGCCGTGCAGAAACTGCAGACGACGCAGCCACCACCAAACCCCGGGCGTAACTATAACACGCGGCGACAAATGTCAACGGACCCGGAGCGTAACTATAACACCCCGTGCAGAAACTGCAGACGACGTAGCCACCACATGTCAACGGACCCGGAGCGTAACTATAACACGTGGCAACAAATGTCACGTGTCTGCCCCCGAAGATCCGACTTCTAAGAACCACAGCCCTCACGAGCCTCTTTCGAACCGCCGTCACCAAAACAGACGGATCAGACGACCTCTGATGCACCGTGCATGCCATCTTCCTCAGGCTGCACAACAATGACCGCCATCAGATTGGAAGTAACCCGCCCCTTAGTCCTATTGCATCTATGCCCCTGAATCCTTGCCACAAGAGATCCCAGTTCCAACCTGAGACTCCACCCCCACTTTTCCCAAAAATCCTTGGCACACCCCTTTTCACAATTCCAGGCCCACATCCCACTCCGATCAGGAAGTTGCGTCGGGCATGAGGTTGGTATCGGAGTCTGACACGTGGCAGGGTTCAAGGATTCATAGCTGGGCGATCTGGCTAACAGGGGACGACCTCGACCCCGGAACACGCATCGACGCGATCCCGTCATCACCAGAAGTCGGTCTGCGGCCCGACGGGCGGTCAACATGAACGCTAATCAACAGAACCCCCAACAGAACCCGAATCCCCAGCAGAATCATATTCAACCCGTACCAAGAGCACGGGCACCCATAACGCCACCCGATCTCTATCTGTTCGATCCCGCTCATCACCTTGCTGGAGCATGGCTGGCCACGCTCCGAGCTCAGCAGTATGATGACAATGAGGCGCAGGTAAATATCTCTGCACGCTTGGGAGGAGACGCCCATCACTGGCTTAGCACCTATGTATGGGTCGATCTCCCGACATTCGAGCGATATTTCTTGAATCGATTCGATTACATCCACCCGGAACAGACTATTTTTATAATTAAAGATCGAGTTCAAAACCCCCTCGAATCTGTCGAGTATCGAAACCGATTCTATAGGATGTTTGTGAAAACGGAACGAGGCGAACAAGTAGGCAGAAATTTGTTTATCGATGGGCTCTGCAGCAGAACGACGAGGGAGAAACTACGAAAACAGTTCTCCCTCATCAATCACACGCTGCAACAAATCATGGCGGACGCAGAGGAAATGGAACGAAAGTTCGCTGCGAGTTTCCTAGAAGGGGAAGACTATCCTGGGGACGGAGACTCGTCCGAACTAGCGAGAGCTAAAGCTGAGTTGGCTGCACTACAGAACAAATTTGAAAACATGGGGTTTGTGTCGGGCCCTATCACCTACCTGGAATAGATTAGTCCCAAACGACCGGTCCCGAGTGTGATTACGAGCATGCCTGTGCCCGTGATGACAGCACCCCCGCCTCCGATCGAAACCCCCGCACGACCGAATGAGTCTTCCACCCTATTGGAACTAACCAAAACTCTGGTCAATCTGATTCAGGAAAGCAAAAAGGAACAGCGGGAGCACAATGCTCGAATAGAGGCAATGATGAGGTCGATGCGACCAATAGCGGTGCGTGGCGCCCCGATTCAACACGGATTGACTCTGGCACCCCCTCCCGCAGGGATCCCTGGCAATCTGAATGTCTGTTACACATGTCATCAGCCAGGGCACATAGCCTGAGATTGGCCCCATCGACCCCCGCAGCAACGAGTCGGAGCCGCACCGGTAGCAGCGGCCTCGATCGTCAACGAACCTGGACGAGTAGGGGCATTGATGGAAGAAATGGAAGGAGGCGAAAGCACATTAGCTACGATGGAGGAACCTGCTGAACTAATCTCGTTGGATTAGTATGTAACGCTTGGCTACCCGGGGCTTGGGATGATTGGAACAACGAACGCTTAGACCCGCTGTCGCACTTTTTCCAAGTCGGGCCACTTCGGGCGACCGGAAAGCTAACACGCTGCCACGTAGGATTTTGTAGATGATTGCAATAAATAAATTAAATTAAATAATGCAAATCCCTTCCTGTTGTGTGCGTCCAGCTTCGAGCGAGACCCTTCAATTGCGGTCTTCGCCGGTCCCTGGTCTTAGGAATCTTTTATTTTGATTCGGAACAAGAATGATGATGCAAGTAATAA